CGCGCGCGCGCGCGCGCGCACGGCAATCGACGGAACGTCGTTGGAGAAAGATGCTGGTTACCGAGAAAAATCGATGTACCGATCTCACGTGCCAACTGCCGGAGTTTCCGCGAGTCTCCTCGAACGGATCTCACAGCGAACACCGATAGAGAATTCCGCCGTGTACTATCGCGACGATACTGCCGAGGGTAAACGCTGCCAACTCCGACGTCATCTGCTTCGGGAGCGGTACGCTCTCTCCTTCCCACCTTCCGCTCATCTTCCGCCCTTACGTCGTCCGGTGGTTGGTCCAGATGCGGCTGCGTCGCGTCGTAACAGCGCCGACGCGAGTCCTAGTCGATCCCTGCTCGCTAGTCCGGACGTTTCGCCACTCGACCAGCTTTCGTTCCGCTGTCAATGACCAACGTTAGACCACCGTGGTCAATTGCCTAGCTTTCGCATCGGTTTACAAGTTTAATTGCTCCAATTACCAACGCTGCTTTTAACCGGACCGACCAATTTCGTTTGGAATCTTGTTCGTGTGTTCATGTTTAGAGCTAAGATCATACTTGCATCGGCTCCTGTGATACATTTGGGTGCGTCATATTTTTTCGCTCTGAACTTCACCGCTCGATTTACGAATAAAATTACTTGAAACTTACTTTTTCGAATTTCCGCATTTTCGCATTTTCCCAATTTTATTTAAAAATGTACGTATCGATAACATGAAAAAATTGTTCGCTTCCTATTATTTTATTTCTCCTTCTCTCTCTCTCTCTCTCTCTTTCTTTTTTCTCAAAGATTATTTCGATCGCGTTATTAATCGTTCTTTATTACCATCGAGTAAAAAATAAAATCTAGACTTTGCAAAGACACGTATGGTTATAGCCTTTCTTTCATCGATAAAGAATTGTCAAGAGAGTCTTGAATAATTACAAACGATAGCTCTAAACCGCGCTAATTTTGTTATTAATAGCATTTACCGAAACTGATTAAGAGTACAGCGATCTGTCAAATTACATAGATTAATATAAAAGACCGACTTTATGTAAATATAATGGATTTATTAGGTATTAACAATTTTTACAGCATTCGTACTTTAAACAACTATGAGTAAAAGATATTAACGCTCTAGTCAAAGAATCGGCGATGCGGATAATTTTTCAACGTTGTATCCTAAACAAAGTAGAAACGATCGAGAGATTCGTTACAAAAGGTGTTCGCCATACGACTAGAGATTTAATCGATCAAGTCTCACAATTTTCTCTTATATAATAAATTACACTATTGGATATCGTTCACCGCATAATGTAATGGATGCAAATAATCGATTTAGCAGATCTTACGTACAAGGCTCGAAATAAATCTGTATTGGAAATTATTATATCGAGTGCACGATATTTGCCGATCGATAATCGTAGGTATCTTCGTATTTAAACGCGTTTCACGTATTTTATATTTAATTGCTTAATCACCCCTCCCCCTACTTATCGAATATCTGCAAAAAGAACCGCACTTTGAAAGAGCGGTCCGCTTCGTAGTTCAAGGTTAAAAGAAGGAAAGGGAATAAAAAATGTTTTGCGAGTGAAAATAGCCGAAGAAAATTTTCACTCTGTAACAGTACGTAACAACGATGTGTACCATTGCTGGAGTAATAATAATAATAATAATAATAATAATAATAATAATAATATGAGCAAACGCGCAATTATAAATAAAAAGATCTTATTATACAAATGGTTTTACGGGGGTCTCTCTCATGCATATACATATTTAAGTCCACGGGCCGATCCACATATACACAGTGCACACGTTCCATTATTCGCTCACATACAAACTTTAGAAATCTATTATTTTATTATTAATCCTTACTACTACGTTGGACGGTACGATGACTCGTAATTACTGCTATGCGTTTTCTGCACATGTTTCGAATAAAAATTTGTATCATCGATTTAGACGTAAACGAGAATTGACGATGGACGCATCGCGCGCAAAATGAAATCTATTCGTCAACATTATCGCGGGAGATAACGAACTATTGCACAGCATAGATTCGATGTAAATGATCTTCGTCACCAAGGCGAAATATTCGCAGCGGCAGCGACGTAGCAACGGTCTATGCGTATATACATCTCGAGTATATTCTTTATATTCTCGTCTCGTCGCTACAAATTACCGACGGACGAATACTCGAACAACTCGCGTATTCGTATCTCGATATAAAGTAAAAGAAAAGAAAATCGAGTTTCACTGTCGCTAACCCCGAGAATATCAGGCGATAGTCGGAAGAGACTTGAACGGTGCCTCGATCTTCCGATTTTGCTTTTCGATTATACGCACGAGCACGCAGCATTTTTGGTCATTGCATCGGATCAAGAAGCATAAATCACATTGAAGTTGCGCCCGATTGTCGCAAAATCGATGGCAATTTCGTTGTACAGTCGTGATAACCGCGCTCGGTGGCGGATTTTCCAAAGAAAACCGTGAAACTAATGATTTTGATCGCGCCGTGCCACGTTCGTTCGCATTTTGTAGAATCGCGACGCGCGACGGACAACGTTCAAAGTTTTTCCACGCTTTTCGACGTTTTTCGCGGAGAGAAGCTCGCCGGATTTCGTTCATCGTCGGTAGAGAGTATTCGCGATGTCGTTTCGCGTCGTGGCACATGCGCTGCCCTATTCATCGCGACAATTCGATCGAAAGTTCGTCACGTGGAACAAATTCTTGTGCTCGTTTAAAAATGCACTGGCGCTTGCTTTCGGTTCGCTTCGGTTCGGTCGTCGCCTCGACGGAACGAACTTTGTTTTGATCCTCGCGAACTTAATCTGGAAAACACGCGACGCTGTAATTTCTCTCTTTTAACCGATAGGTCGATATCGTAAGAAAACGATCGCACAGCGCAAAACCTGGACCAAGAATTCTAGCAAAATTTTCCAGTTGAGCATATCCGAGCCCCTTTTTACAACTCCGTGGTCGTTTCCACCGGGCTTTGTTCACCCAAATACGTGAACCCTAGATGAGAATAATCCCTCTTTTCTCTGAACGTGACGTTGTCGTTCGACGGACTAGGACTGAGTAGATCGTTACCGTGATTGTAGAGCGGATTTAAGACAGGCGTCGTGTCGTGGTTGTTCAACGTGTTCGCGTTGCTGTTAGGATTTTTTCTACCAAGGGTCGATCGTCGCAACGAGTGAATGTTCGTCTCTCCGTGGGTACCGACTATGCTGGAAGCACGTGCCGTGGTCGCCGCTTCGGAACTTACAGGGCTCTGTTGACCTAAACAGATGATAAACACGCGTCCATCAATTCCGTCCTCCTCGTCTTGCTAATTATTTTCGCGTCGAGGGACAACCACTTTTCAGAGAAACAAAATGAAAAATTCGAGAGTCTTCAAACTCTTCTTCGACCAGTAAATCGATGGTTGACTGAGAAATATCGTAACGTTGTTAAAAACCGAGTTTTCGCTTCCGCTTTGAAACTCAATATTCCACCGTTCAAAATGATTCGTACGAACTTGAAATTCGAAAGATTTCTAAAGATAAAAGAGAGAAAAATGCGAAAAATCCGAAGGGCGACAGAGTATCAAACCTTCCGAACCAAACAATTATTTTTAAAACGCTCTTATCTTTAACCGTTGCAGCTATACGATATTTCTTATCGTTTTAAGGTTTACTTGCAACCTCTCCTTGCGACAAAGCGGTTCGTCGTTGTACATCGTGTTCGAATATTTTCTGTCCACCGTTTCTTACATTTTCGATACCTGACGATGTACTTAGTCGGCCGAAGAGCTTGGAAATTGATCAGGGCTCTATCTAAATATATTTCGCAAATCATCGATACGTGTTTTACACTTGCCGATATTACGATAGACGATAAAATAGCGTGTACGTAACTGTAATAATCGTTAGAAAATATTTGAATTACCGGTACTTTCTCCGTGATCTTTGGTAATATAGCTAACATTGTCCAAGCTGAACGCATGATTCTTATTGCTGAAATCAAGCTGCAGATCGTTATAGCTGTCGTTGTCGTCGACAGGCACGCTCATTTGAAGCACCTGTGTCTCGTATTCTTTCAAATTTGGCTCGACGTACACAGGATCGTAACGGGGCACGACGTACATCCGCTGCATTCGTTCCTTGTACGCTTTGTATCTATGCACACGAGACAACAGAATATTCGTGTAGCGAATAGTTAGTGTTGAACGAACGTGTGACGTATCGCAGCGCTAAACGTTTTAATTTTAATTTTAAGAGGTAACCACGCCGGAAAGCGTAATTAATTCTAACGAATGTAATAAAGGGAACGATGAATTTGCATGGTACGCGAGCTCGTCGCTGCTATAAATATTCATTGCGGCACTTGAAAACCATTCTTTCACGCGATATTAACACGGTAAGAACGTTATTGCAGCGACAGACGCGCTCAAAATTGCCCGATCGTTCGAATATCCAACGTTTTCCTTTCTATTCGCGATTCGCGATAATTAACGCATTAACGGCAGGTTAGGGCAAACGAATGAAATTCCGTTCGAGACTGCAATCATACACCTTGTCACTAACGGAAACGAGCAACTTACCTGGACCAGGACACGCAAATGTAGATGATACCAGCTATGCCTAGGATCAAGATGACACACGCGATGATTATCAAGGCATACGGAAATACCTCGCCGCTGAAAGCGATGGCGGTTTGCGTGCGTACCGACTCGGCTGGCATTACTGGCGCGTGAATGTCTATCGCATTCGCTCGGACCAGCGTCGACACGTCGAAGGTGATATTTGACATAGCCGTTTTTTCGATAATCGATCTGCAACAGAACCACGCGTATTTCGCAAGTTGCCCTTCGAATTCGACCACTCGGCAATGTGTAGATAAGCCTCGAGACGAAGTGGCGCGCGAATCGTCGATTCGCCATTACGTGGCTATAAAAATAAAATTGTTACCTTCTACGTACTTACTATTTACGATGACTGCGAGCTTTTCGCCTATCCGTAATGAAAACGACAAATTACTCGTAGACTTGGAAACGAACATGTAAGAATAATGTTGTTTTTTCCTTTTTTTTTTTCTTTTTTTGTTTCCTTTTCCTAGATAATACTACATATAGACTACATATAGTAGACGCGCATACAACATCGTGTATTTTTAGTAGAGAGGAAAGAAAAATGCGAAAAGAGCACGCAGTCGTTCTCTTCCGTGTCAAAGAAACTTTAATCACGATGGTTGTTTTAATTCGCGCTAGATTCTCGTATCGATACGGTCGGCTACGGATAATATTGTATATATAATGTGTAAATAACGAATCCCTTACCTTTGTATACGCGAACTGTTCCTATCTAAAATAGCTTCTGTATCTGGATCGATGGCGTAGAACCACACGTCGGAATCCTGAGGGTACATCTCGACGGTTCCATTTTTCGTCAAATTTTTTCTCACTGCCACTCTATCGATGCCGATCAAAAGACCGCTCTTCTCCTCGATGATACCAGCGATCTTGGATGCCTCCTTTTGCAACGCGTCTGGTGGCGCGTCCTGAACTACTAGAATCATTAGATTCTCCTCTTCGATCAGATTCACTATAACCGGAGCTACGATCGAGTTAAAGTTGTCAGTCGAATTAGGATTATCTCGAACTCGAACGTCGAATTTGAATGGAAGCTCGGACAGATCCACGTTATCGAAAGTCGCGGTGGTTCTTATTATTCCGGAAGAACTGTCCATGGCGAAGTAGTCCGATCCTCGTCCACCAAGTATTTTGTACTCGAGCTTGCCGTACTTGCCGTTATCCTTATCGTGTGCTTTCACTTGTATAACCGTCGACGCGAACTGGGCGGTTCGGGGAATCGCAGCAAAGTAACGTCCTCTCGATAGTTTTGCTCTACTGTCCGCGAAAATGAACTCCGGTTTATTGTCGTTTACGTCGAGCACTTGAATCTTGACCTGTAATCCAGAAACGAAACTCGAACGAGTCTTTCGAAGAAAAGGCAAATCGCAGATCAATTCTATTCGCCATATATTTACGACGTGCTCAACAAATTTCATATTTTGAAATTGATAATGTTTATAACGTTACGATTTGGCGTTTCAGTTGTTTTCTAACTATATTTTTGTATTCTTTTTCTTTTTTCTTTAATTCCAACGATTAATCTATTAATTAATTAATTTCTAAAATCAACTTTTCCTTTGTTATTTACATACTAATCAACGTTAATACATCCTATTCGTAAGTACGTACCATCGTTGTATTCCTGTCGGTATTCAATAGACCTGATAAAGATTCCAACTTGAGTTTCACTTGATAGGATTCCGTTGTTTCGTAATCCAACACTCCTTTCCGGAGTCTAAGCGCGCAATTCCGTTCCTCCGTAACATTCGCTTCGAACAATTCCTTCTCGTTACCGCTATAAATTTCGCATTTTAATGGCGTAGTATCGTGTGCGTGACTATTAATGACCGTGATTATCTTGATCAACGTATTGTCGCCCGCATCTTCCGGTACTTCGACGTTGTAGGAATTTTCTGCAAAACCTAAGCCGATTTCTGGCGGCACCGTGGCCACGTGACGAACATAAACTGGCACTGTCGTGACGGACGCCAGTTGCGGTTCTCCCATGTCGTACGCGCGAACATCAACCTGAAACATTAATAACTTGGTCCTGACGAATGCTGCTCGGTTTAAGTCTAATTTTACCATACAACCTTCAAGATTCAACGTAGAAAGAACGACGTTGAACTCCGTGATAAAAGCGAACAGAAACGCGACATTTTAACCGCTTTATATCTATATCTATTCATACATACATACATACATACATATATATATATACACATATATTACCTGATATTCAGTGTTCGTTTCCTTACGCAAGTCGTCTCGTATCCTAAGCACGCCAGTGTCCGGATCGATCACAAAATATTTGTTCGCTATTTCACGGCCGACAATTTCGTATCTCACCTATAAATCGACAGACAATAACGATCGACTTTCTTTTGTACGTTAACTGCTATGACCAACGTCCATCACATCCGATCAGGGAGCAAATGATAGCAATTTCTTTTCTTTCCGTCGTTATGCGATATTGGTTACAAATAGAAATTACGTATCTATACGTATAATTTCCAATAAAGAAAATAGCATAAACGCATTCCGCAAAAAATAAAGTAAAAAGACTCGTACCACTTAAGGATTACTAATCGCGAGTACGTACTTGATTTCCAGGAGCAGTGCCATCGGAATCTGTTGCTACGAGATTAATGACCGTCGTGCCAATGGGAACGTCGTCATCCAGCGTAATCGGACGAGGAACTGACGTGAACACTGGTGGAATGTCGTTAACGTCCTGATGAATAACAAAGGCATGTAATACCATCTTTCTTGAAAAAGATTATCCGATTGTATCTCGAAGTAGGCTTCTCGATTGACCTGCTTTTAATTAAACTAAAAGTCTGATCGATGCTACGAAGGATCGAAAACTGTAGATACAAAGTATACGCGGCCAAGTTAGGCAAGTTAGATTTTTGATACAAATTTGCAACATTATTATGTATTCAAGAGCAAATGTTTCGTAGAATCATCTTACAGGAGCATACATTCCTATTGAATCCTACTGTCCCACGTATATTCCCGCAGGGAGGACCGCCAGGTGGTGCACGAAGTTTTCAACTCCACTGTACTATAGCTTTCAAGATTGGTACGGACTCGTTAACTAAACTAGCTACATCTATTTACCAGACGCAGTCGACGATACTTGTATTTTATCCCCTTTTCCCCTTTTTTTCGTAAAGCGCTGATTCGTTTCTCGTCTCGTTTCACGGTACAGATATACGAAGATGCAGAAGAGTCTAAGAAAGTTACAACGATCGATACCTGAACATTGACCACAACTCTAGTAGTAGAACCAGGCGAATCGCTGGTATTTTCGACGGTGCCAATTATAAGGATATGCTGGTTCTCCCTCTCATAGTCCAAACCGCGAACGGTTTTTATGACTCCAGTCTTCGGGTCTATGCCGAATAGTTCGGTGTTGCCTTGTTTAATCATGTACGTGATCTGCTTCTTTGTGTCCGGATCATCAGCCTGGAATTGATCGCGTTTGTTTTAGCTTCGACGAGGATGGCTATTCGTCTAGAATTTTGCAACGTTCTACTCTTCCAGTACAGTGATACGACGATAATCGAAAATTATAATTTATTTATGTTAAAGCGAACCAAGTAGTTAAAAGGAATAAGAAAAATCGAGTCAAATTGGATGAAATACAAAAGTTGCTTAATCTTTTTAACAAACTCGAAATAATTCGATTTTTCGCGAATAATCGGAGCAGATGCAACGTTCAAATCCTTTCGAACGGATCAAAAGACTCGTTCGTATCGTTTTCTTGGAAAGTTTCCTCTTTTTTTATCGACCAATGGTTTCACGCCATCGAGACTCGACTTGGTAACCGCCAGTTTCGATATCGAATCGTGTCGCTCGAACTTAACTCACCGTTACTTGAAGCACCGTGTAATCTGGTATATTCTCTTTAACTCGAGCCTCGTAGCTGCTTTGATGGAAAACAGGAACTTCGTCCTCGACGTCTATAACTTTCACTGTAACCGTAGCAGTAGCTAAGCGGTAATCAGGAGCACCGTCTCTCGCGGTTACCACAAATTTGTATTCCTAAGCAACGAAATCATTTTAATCTCCTGGCGACTCCTATTCCTAAACTCTAAATACACATGTATACATTTTTTTTGTTTCGCCGTTATGTACGTATGTACCTCACGATCGTTGCGTCAACGAAATATTCAAACTTCTACTATCGCTAACGTTATCATTTTACAAACATACGTCATTTTGCTCATAGTCCAAAACGATTTTCGTCAACACATCTCCAGTTTCAGGATCGACGGTAAACGGTATGTCGTCTGGCGCGAAATACGTGATTTCTGCGTTGATGCCTTCATCGGCGTCCTCGGCATGCACCCGACCTATTAATTTCCTAGCTTCTCCTTCTTTCACAGTAAACTCGTAAGGCAAGTCGACGAATTCTGGATTCTTGTCGTTGATGTCTGTTACTTTGATGTTTACCGTTGCCGTGTTGAACAAACCGCCAGAATCTTCGGCCTTTATCAGCTATCAACGAAGAAAAAAGATGTTAAACAGCTGTGCTTAAGAGGCCGACGCACCATCCACCAGATCACCGGACAACCGAAAATCAGACGACTAAACTCGGCGACGAAGCTCAGCGACTCGAAAATTGTCGATATCGTAGAGATCGTCCAACGGAATTGGATGTCGAGGAAAGCATTGTAATTATGAAGTTGCGAAAAAGAAGAAAAAAGGATTTGATTCGATGTACTTGGTCGGTCGCTACGGCCCAGTGCGTACGGGCTCGTGTACGTACTCTCTCGACGACCGGCCACCAGTAGTCGATAGTGTGTAAAGGCACTAAACGATTCGCAAACATAAACTTACCAGCTGATAACGGGTCAGATCCTCCCTGTCTAACTTCCTTATAACAGTGATCACGCCTGATTTGTCACCGATCGCAAATTGACGCAGATCGTTTCCAGATACGATCGAGTACGACACTGGATCGTTCTCCGGGTCAACTGCCTATTAAACGGAGATCAAACCGAGTTAAAGACGTAAGTAAAAATGATTAGTTTTCGATGAGATAAAGAAAGAAAATGTTGGAAGAAAATGACGAAAATGAAACGGGTAACGTTCTCTAGTTTCTTGTTAATCGCGTCCTATTTGACAGCTTTACCGATAAAATCGACGCCAGTTGCGCCGCCAATACCGGTTACTCTTTCTTTTCAACGTCCTCTCGCTCTCTCGACAACGAGTTTACGAGTTAGCGTAAAACGAAGATGACCGTTAAAAGTAATTACGAACACTTACGGTAATCGTGGCGACCGTGGAATTAATGGACGCTCCCTCGCTGACTTGCACCTCGTATACCGGTTGCTGGAAGACGGGACTCCTGGTATTGGGTCCAGGAATCACGTTTACCTCGACGATCGTCTGTGAATATTTTCCACCCTTGTCAGTAGCTTGTACGGTAATGCTGAATTGTTCGCCTGCGTTCAGCTTTCTCACGGATTCGATCAGGCCGGTCTTCGGATCGATTTTAAATTTATGTAGTCCATTATTTGACACGTGATAGATGCTGTATGTTATTTCGGCATTCTCCCCTTCGTCGTTGTCCGTTGCCTCGACCTACATTATTCAACATCGGTCGGTCGAATTTTTCCAACTCGTGGATATGAAATTTTCATTGTTTTTCGTGTTTCTTTTTCAATGCGAAACAAGTAGCGGAAAATAAAATTGCTTTCTATTAATATCACGGAACTGGCGAGCCTACCTTTGTCACTACTTTCTTCGTTTCTCCAGCCTGAACGGTGATGGGAGCTATCATAGGAAGCATAGGTGCGTTGTCATTAACGTCGTTCAATATCACCACGAAGGATAATGGCGCAGAAGCAGCAACGCCCGTCTTTTCCCTGGCCACCACTTGAAACCGGAAACGACCAGGACTCGGAGGATCACGATCCAGATTCTCTTCGTTCACGACGAGTATACCGGAAGGATCGATCGCGAAGAAATTGGTGGTTAATTCGAAAGTGTAAGCTGGTTTCGGATCTTCGGGGCCCTAAACGCACAGTTAATTCGACAAACGCAACGTTATAAACAGATACGATAAAGCAAGGCCTACTATAACACGCGAATTAAACCATACGGAGGTTTAATTTGACGCTACTTGATCCACGGCTATCTATATTCGTTTAGAAATCGCATGCTAATTACATATTTTCTACGCCTAATATATAGCTATTCACTTTGTTTACATGTTCTAGGATGGAAAGTAAAATCGTTTGCGTGCATCGATTATTAAACGGTATAGAAACGTAAAGCCATGCTACTCTATACTTGCATGTACACATCATCGTTTGACAGTATTCGATGCGATCCACGAACTATCAGAATCCAAGCATAGACGCTATTCGCTGACATGACGTCGCAACTTACGAATATCAAGGAAAAAGTTTCGCATACGTAGAACAGATCCGATCCTTTTTGTCATGTATTATCGATGCTTCGATACGATCGAACATCAATGCCATTTTGACAACGTTTGAAAGGATAATGGACATCGGCTAACGTAGAAAAAATCGAATAGCTGAATTTTGCTTTCCGCTTTGCCGTCCATTTTTAATTAGTTCTGAAATTGAATAACGAATAATTTTTCGTCGAATAAAATCGTTATTTCTTATCAGCGAATAAACTCTTGGCAAACTATTCGTTATTCGAATAAAATTCGCCCAACTCTGCGGTCGATGTTTTGCCGAAACGAAACGCACCAAGCGTGCGTCGATCTATTTCCGCACGATACTTGACAGTTTTCACGAAACGAAGTAGAGTCGTCACGCGATGTAATTTGTCTAAGAGTTTACGATCTTTCCTAGAAAAGAAGAAAACCGAGTTCCTTGATCGATCGAAGAGGTGGCAATTAGTTTTGAAAGGAACGAAATATTTAGATATTCATTTTTCACTTTGTTCCTTTTATCGATTTTTCCTAGTTTTTTTTTTCTTTTTTTTTCTTTTTTTTTTTTTAAGAGATCGATTCAACGGATAGGTAGCGGAACGTTATTCATTAAGAACGAGGGAAATTAAAGCATCGGTGCATGGCTGGCTGAACCGAGTCAGATCGATTTCGAAGATTAAACTTACCAAATCAGCGTCCGAAACAGTGAGTACCACGGGATTGCCTATTTTGTCGATAACCTTTGTTCCAATCGGGGCATTCTCATCGACGAAACCCTCTATGTTCGATGCTGTTATAATCGGGGGGTTACTGTCGACTGGCTTCACAGTGATGGTCAATTTCGCTGTGGCCGATCGTTTCGCTTCCGACACCTCGACGGCCTTCCGTCCAGTAAACAAACGAATAATTTTACTGTACGTTTACAAATACGTATTATATACGTATTATTAGCCATTATACGTAACGTTATACACGGATACGAGAATGTTTAATAAACGTTACGTCACGACGACTCTTACCTTGATGATAATATCGAACTTCTTGGTAACCGTTGTGTCGACCGCCTTGATTTGCTTCACGGCGCCAGTGTTCGGGTTTATTTCGAAAAATTCTCGATAATTCGATGGATTGCCACTGAGAAACGAGTAATGAATGGGTGCGTTTATACTGTCCATATCAACCGCTTGTATTTTCTCCGGCGATATATTAAGTATCCCGGATAACACTCCACTCGATACCTGATGGAGAAAAAGGCACAATGTATAGAACCGGTTGGCCGATAGCTTAGAACGTTGTCGCACGAGATTTCAGAGCAAAGAAATCGGTCGCGTATTAAAAATCCAGGGTTGCACGTCGTCTTGTGCTATACAATGCACGATAACGCATTGGCGCATTTGCGTCGCGTACGTCGAACCGTGCGTGTACTCCGCGATCAAAAATTACGTTCGTTTGCCAATGTTCAGTTTCTAAGACTAGCGATCGTCTATACGTTTATATCGACGTACACCAAAGTTTACTCGTTCGAAGTAGCCTCGATTTTCTCCGACAAATCGTTATCTATCGCGAACTCGTAAAACGTAATAGTACCCATTATACCTTACAATTCTTCGCGAATTTCTAGACCTACCAAAGTTCCCTCGATTATCGTACAATTTGGGCTATATAAGAACACGTACGAGATCTCTCGCTCAACATTTATATTTAACCAACGTTTTTGCAACGATATGTGCGCCAAGTTTCGATCGGTCTTTTCGTACTTCTCCGTGGCCCGTATCGAACCGAGGCTCGTTTCATTTTCCAGCGTGTTTCATATTCCGTTACATCTTGTACGCGTAAACAGCCAATATATGTATGTACTTTATTCGCTTATTATCGTCCGATTACAGCAAATTATAGGAAATTATTTGTTTCAAACAATTACAGGCCCTAGATTTCGGATCAAATAAATCTACTTACGGACGCCGAATATTCTGGATTAATGCAGGCGCCATCCAACAGCATACAACCTTGATAGATGAAGGAAGGATCTTGATCATCGTCGTCTCTGATATTTACCGTCAAGGTGGTGGTAGATGTGAACCTTTCGGATACGTTCCTTGCGCGATCCTATCAACAAACAGTTTATCATGTATCTTTTATCTCCTCATTTTACCAATTAACATCATGGTCACGGTTGTACTTTTCAACGCGATGAAACCAATTTCTTTCGCCGTTCTCCGCAATAAGAAAGTAACGTATACGTTAAAGAGCATCAACGACGTCCAATTTGACCGTATAAATCCTTCTGGTTGCATTTGAGACTCGATTATTCTCGAATTATGAAAGTCGCGATCGTCGCGAGTAAAACAAGAACGATCGTTTCGCCGATCCTTGCGAATAGGCGAAAAGACAAGGGCATCTTTATCTGCCAAGGCAACGCTTCGTACTAAAATCGAGTTTCAGCGAGAGACGAGAAGGCGAAACGCCCGCGGTTACGAGTTCCAGTGGAACTCGAAGCCATCGTGATCCAGCACAGACTTTGTTACCGCTTCGTAAGAACTTTTCTCTTTCGCTTTGCCCTTTGTTCGTTCTTTCCTCTTCCTCTTGTGTGTTGTAGCACCGTTTACGGGCGTGGCACCGATCGTCGTAACCGAGAGACAATCGTATCTGGCGTCTTGGCGGTCGGAAAAATATTTTTCCGAGTTTAGTCGTCGATTACCTTACCTCGTTGATAATCTTTTAATATCTAATCACGCCGAAGGAAGGAAAAGGAACGAGTGCACGAAGAACGCGACATTTACAGTCGAGAAGGTTTGCGTACTTGGCGGAAAGGAGGACAATACGTTGGAGAAGACGCGCAGCCAGCTGTTCCACGCAATATTCAAATGAGCCACACCTGTAGCAGCAGCTGTTGCAGCGATCCACGTTACCCTTGCGACCAGCAGAGAGAAATCGATCACGAGTTCAAGCAACTACGAAGATATTCGCCGTGTTATCGTCTACACCTTCTAGATTTCACATATTCCTGACAATTTGAAATATATAGCGTTTTATACGTGACTCGAAATTCGCGTAAGCGTCACAGCAATTATTTTCAGACGAAGTAATTTCTTAATAAGCAGGTTTCGTATTTTCGGCCGTACGCTTACACGCGCCATACGTCACGCCGATGTCAGTGTCGGAGTTAAACGATTCCGTTGAACGTGATCCATAAGTAAACGACCAACTTATACGCTTAGCGGTCAGCTCGCTCACCGTTGAAAAGGCGTTGACTCGTTGCCGTGCAAGTAACACGACCAGCAACACTTTCACCGGATTAAGAGGTTCCATCGTCGATCTCGCGTGACGTTTACTTTTATTCTAAACTGTTTCGATTCATCGTTTCATTGTTTCAATTTTAATTTTGAAATTTTTACGCAAGCCTGTACAAAGCCGCATATCGCTACGCGTCGCGACGCGTTTGCTAGGAACAACGAATAGCGAACGAAGGAAACGAAGAAAGCGATGGCTTTGTAAAATCGCTTCGGTATTCGAACCGAAAGACATCGACGGTAAAGCTACGATATCGTATGTTTGGAATAAACTGCAAAATGTAACGGCGCGTCGTGAAACGCATCTCGGTACGGTTCGATGATTTTATCGCTGAAACGCTGTCATTTCCTTTTACGAGTATCGCGCGGACGAGTGTTACATACGAGTGCTGAATCTTCGCAGAAATCTATCATCCATAGAGTCGTGTTTCGCGCGCGCGCGCGCGCCATCGTCCACAGCGGCTTTGGGATTCGCACGGTGTTTCCTGTTTCCCGGAAACGTTCTATGCACGCTACACGTTTCGCGCAATACGCGCGCACGCTGGTTGTTACACGCCTCGACAACGCCATTGCCTTGAATCGGGATTATCGTGTAATTTTATACCGCGTACATCAAGTTCGCGAACAGGCATCGTACTTACTCTCGCACGAGATTGCCCTCGTTGTTTTATCGGAGGTTTCAAACCCAGTCACGCCGCTATCTATCCAATATTGCTGGCCGTTCGACGCGGAAGGAACCAATCCACGATCGGTAATCACTGTTTCGCGATCGCTGCTGCACCATGGCGTAGAAATCGCCCGTTCGTCGTAACGTTCAAGTCTAACGAACCAAACTGCCAATATAAACGATGCTGGTATTTCGTACTTGGTCGTATCCGAATAATTGGCCTCGGATATCTATCTGAATTATGCACGTCGACGTACATTTCGATACGTCTGCAACAGAGACCTATTACGCGAACGGAATCGAAAACGTTGATCGTCGTAATGGACATAACCGACCGTGGTTCCGCGATTTGCATAAACTTTTAATCGTCGGTGAAATCTGAACGCGTTCTGCATCTTTGGTGCCCAAAATGCGTAAAACTAACGTCGATAGATGCGCACGTACGCCAATGCGCCGACACTCGCTATATACGAGACAAGCGGCTTCCCGCGACCACATTGTAGAAGTCTATCCCTCTAATATTTAATATTCGCCGTTAATCTCCATTCCACGAACGATTCGTTGCCGATGGCACGTTTCGCGCACAGCTCGACCACTCGCAATTACGCTGACTCGCGCTTCGACAAATTCGAAACGGAACGCCCGACTCTTTTCCTATTTTCAAACCTAGAGATATAGATCCGACGCTGCCATAACCGAACGTAGCTCCGGTGCTATTCTCTCATTTTTCCCATTCAACGACAGAACGGTATATCGTTAGGTATATCGTTTACGAATATTCTATTATATCGGGTAAAGATTCGAATCATTAAGACGTGGCTGGGTATAGAGTCGAGGAAATATCGAGTTTAAAAATACATCGAACATCGAACATCGAAAAAGAAGAGACAAAGCAAAGTTAGATGGATATTCGCTAAAGTTTAAAACGTTTTATCATTCGCGGCCTATCGGTCGTCGTTGCTAACAACGAAACACGTTCGCGGAATAAAAGACGTCGAGAAACGAGCGACGTACGACGCGATTTCACTTTCGTCGACGCTTATACAGATAGATCTGAGCTCGACTCGTAGGATCGTGATTCGAATACGCATCTACCAAGCGACATAGTTTTTCACTGATCGCACGCGATCACGTTTCGCGTTCAACGATCGCGAGAACGAGACGCACAGGAATAAATTTCGCGTATTACAGGACGAATTTGCCGCGTTTACGATTTCCGGCAGTCAAACGAGAATGAAATTTCAAGCTTAGGTTACGGCGCGCCGCGAGTCGAACGGTGACTAATACCGCGAGGCGAGGCTATTCTACCTTGCCCGGTTGCATCCGCAAACGTGCATACGCCAATGCATATAAGTCCTGCCATATTCGCTACCTACCGAGTTCTACTCACGGATACCTGGTTGTAACGCGAGTTTCTTTGTTTGCCTAGTCCACGAGCCGCGCAACCGCTGACATTTACAAAACAACCGTCGATCGATATTCTTTACGCGCTTTATCCATCTCCATCGATACGGATATCATGGAACGTCGGTTGAGTACTCGCTGCCGTGACCGGATAATTAAGACGATCGAGGTGGCGCATTTGTTATTGCACCAAGCTAAAGATAAGCCTGCCAGTTCGACGCAAGGTTCTAAGAACAAACGGTATAAATTGAGAAAATGTGCGTCGAATCTGCGAAAGATAGGATCACCGATAGCTTCGCGGAAAGCAGAACTTGAAAGAAACAACGCAGCTTTAACGTTTTTAACCCAATTGAAATTCATTTCGTTCTATTTCGAGATTACTCCGATAAAAAGTCTACGCAGCCTTGCGCTCCTAAAACCTATTTCTAATCCAAATGTGCAACCGTTTATATTTTGTCGTATGTTGATCGAAATCGAGATCGGTTGCGATTCAGCAAAGGTTGCATTTTCTCCGTGACCTTGATATCCAATCCTGTATCGAAATGCTGGGGTATTTCTAGCAAATACGCGAATAAGTAGTCCGAGATCAGCAGCAACGGTATGGTAGCTAGAGAATTTGCGAATCTAGCGTATTTAGTCGCGAAATTAACAATGTCGACTCCGAGAAAGCGATATGCAAATATCTACAAGCGCTCGCTCTAATCGCTACCTTCTAATCTCGCTACGCGTGCCAAAGCTGCACATCCAACTGACACGATATCGCGAAGGATCGCGTGCTGTGCTCCGTGTTCAATGACGCCATCCCTTTCCCTCTTTTTTCTTCGTGTTAAACGTATTATCGAACAGCAATTATCCTTTTAATATAGATTAATATAGATTCTATCGAGCTCTTTTGATATTTCATAGATATCCGTTACTCATTGGAAAATGGGCATATACGCACGTTGCACTTGTTAGACATCGCGGCGTAGAAAGGAAACTAAGGAAACTAAGAAGAAACCGAGGTACTGATTTTCGTATTGGTAAGAAACGCGTAGTATCAGCAACGACGGAAGACCACGCGAACATTCTAGTAATCGTAAAGAAAATCGATACGCCGATACGAATATCGTGCGAGAATCGATAGATGACTCGTCTCGATGACTCATCGAATCCTTTCTTACGCTTTCGTCACACGCTAACTGACCGATGACTATTTTCGTAAAGTCACCCTTCCTTCCTATCCACCATCTTGATTTACCGTTAAATTAAGAAAATATTTTAAAATACCTAATTACCTTAATGGGAACCGCGTAGAGGTCACTATGCAGTTTCGTTACTCGCGAGTACATAATGGCTTTTTATAACGTTCCTTACTCGACGATTTTTCGATGAGATACATCCGATCGATCTATATAATTTTCGAAAAATAAACTATCGATACGCGGTGGCGAGTCGTAAAAACAGTGGAACAGTCGAAACAGTCGAGAAATCATAAACGTAACCGGGAAAGTATACGAGGAAAGAAATAGGAATATTAAAGCGAAGCTTCTTGGTCAAAATAGACGAAACACCCAAGTAGAAACGATCGTCGAACGTGTTTTAGGACTTTAAAATGATCGAGAAAAGGGAATATAAAACATCCTTGATCGTTCATATCGGATCGCCAAGGAATAGGTACTTACCGATGCCAAAATGGTGACGAGGTATCGTTGCGTTCTTTCAAAATCCAGGGTACGGTTAACAGTAACTTGGCCTTGATGAGGTAAGTTAATGCTGAAATAACCGTATCCATCGGCCGTTGTTATTCTATTTCGACCAACTCCGTCATTGTTGCCAATGCCAGTTCCGTCACCAGGAGCGATCGAGTATTCCACGATGCCGTTCACACCGGCATCCGCGTCCACGGCCACAACGTTTTTGAAGATGGTCGAACCGACTGGCGTTAACTACGACCAAACCATACGGAATTCTATGGAACAGTTGCGTAAAAAATATTTTTCACAGTACAGCTATTACAGTAGTCAGTAAATCAGAGTAACCATAGAGAAATTGTGCGGAGGCGAGTGCAGCGCGATACGAACTTATGGACAAATATCTCTGAGGAGGTGCGGTTGATCTTTTACGGTTACCACGACCGATTATCACGGGAGCGATTCAGCTTTCTCCGTTTCTCTTCTAGGAAAATCGGCCGGCTATTTGTGCCCATGGTAGATTAATTAGTTTAAACGGAGGTCGCGAACAACGCGTTCCACTATCTCGACCGAGAAAACTCCTACGATTCTGCAATTGCGACCGATATATCGTGTTACGGTGAAATTGAAAGTGCATGGTCGTGTCACGCATTGATACGGCAACGTGTCCATGTATTAATTCAGAGATAATCGGTTCGTTCGATATTTTGCACTAGAAGAGCAATTATCGAGATTTCCCTGTCTGTTGCGTTCAATTATGCACGTACATACGCAAACACGTTATCGACATCGATCGATTAGTCCGTGCTTCAAGATAGTGGCTACCGTTTCGAAATCCGACGCTGCTTAATTCCAACAAAATCAATAAAATAACGAGCAATCTGTTGTGCGAAAATAACGGTTACGAAACGGTATCGTTGTGAGTTATTTGGTCGGCAAGACCATGTACTTGGCTAAATTTTGAAATTTCATCGAATTTTAAATACCTATCCGATATCTACGCTCGATCGAAGGTATAAAGGTCTGCTTGTAATTGCAAAACCACTTTACCTTACAGTGCGATAGTGCATCGACGATAAATTATATACCGCACAACATCCATTAAACGCAAGTGAATTCAAATCAAACTCATTCATATTAATAGGAATGGAAAACTTTAATAGAACGAACGTTAATACAACGGGATAAATAATTCACCGAGTTCATTCATAAAACACCGACAAGTACGCACGTAGAACGTATCGGTACTATACTATAAACATGTACACTAGAATCGTAGAATCACCTATTCAAAATCGTTCATCCAACTTGGAGGATTGTCGCATCTCAGCAAGAACCGTGATGGTTCAAGCTAGAAACGTGCTGGAAATTCGACCGATTCGCAAATTATTTCACCGATCAACTACCGAACGAAAGAAACGAGGCTCGTGCTCGTCTGTCGTTTGTCCGTAAACGCGCTCGCAAATACCATTTGTTGCAACGATATCCCCAATACGCGATCGTGTCGCGTATAACGATCCACGCGAACCGCTTAACGACCGAACGAGCCGTGGACAGTTTCGATGTACCGTTATGCGTTACCTCTACAGATGTAGCCCGATAGCATGCTTGTTCACCATCGTAAAATGCAAGTTCATTAAAATAAGTATTAACGTGGAATCGAAGGGAGAGCAAACGCATGCCAGTGCGTGCCGTGGCATCTGGCTGGATCAACCGGTATTCGCGAGATGCGCGCCATTCCTATTATAACGGTCCGTTAGCGTAGAAAAGAAAAGGAATCCGCGCCACGAGAATTCTGCCGACTCTCCTCGTTTCTCTTTGACACGGTCGTGACGAAATTTCCGACCACCGCTACGTATCTGCTATAGAGATCGAAAGAGCGATCTACTTTTCCACCTGTTGCCAGATAACTTGCCTACGAGATTTATCCTTCCAATACGTAATCAGTGGGATATTGGACGACTGGTGGACAACTTGGATAATTTAATTGGTTCGTGGAGTCCACCGCCGGGAATCGGCACATCCAACTTTCGAATCTAGACGAACAGTTCCCGTGTTTATGTATACGTTCGTAAACTTTGCGTTTGCCTCTCCGGCGTTATCGTCAAATTTCTTCTTCCGATAAATAACTTTCCGTTTAGAAAATTTCATTTAACCTTAGTTCTAGATAACACGGAATTTCGATTTCCTTTCTGCCGCCGATCGATAATACAATTAAACAGATATTCGAACAGATGGATCGATTTCTCTAGTAACGCGCGTTACGTTCATCGTAATTAAAACGAAGTTTCTCGATTTCTATGAAATGCATATTTCTCATTCGATGAATAGTTCTTCGCGCGTTCGATTTATCGTAATCGCAATACTGCTCGCTTTTGTAGATCGTTCCTGTTTAATTACATAGTACCAGCTCTATTAGTAATAGGTATCTATTTTTATCTTTACCTGTCGTTATGTAAATCGTGAAACATCCATGTGTAGCTAACATCGCGGATAAAGCTATCGTTAGTAACGCTTATACTAGGAAATCCGTCGATGCAATTTGCATTCGTAGTACTTTTAATTTCGACGGGAATTCCATCACGTAGCGGGTTCATCGACTCCGAAACATTTGCAATTTTAATATCGTCGAACCGTTCGAACACGATACGCTTTAGAATCGACCGTGTCGCGTCGATTATTTTATCTTTCTTTCGTTATGGCGATTCCTTCGCTTTTCGTTTAACGTCGCCATGTCTGTACGACGAGACTTTATAAATCCTAAACTGTGATTCTAACGCAAGGAAAGCCTGCTTCATTTATTTCGTTACATTCTCGCGGATAACGATCGACCAAATCGTTCGAGCACGACCATCTCACCGATTTATCGTTCTTTGTCGATCGATTTTTACCCAACTGGATGTCGGTAATTCGAAATTTCCTGAACATCACCCAATCGATTAACTTTGATCGAGTTGACTTTTCCTCTATATATGCGTGACACGAACGCTACGTGTATCAAATTTCACACCTTATCTTTCTCTAATCGCGTGTATTTTTAGTAGAATTTTTAGTAAAATTTTTAGTAGAATTTTTAGCAGAATTTTTAGTAGAATTTAGTACTTGGACGCCAATTTCTCTCGCTTGAAAAGATGGAACACTTTATGCCGACTTACCTCTGGCACCGTTGTCTCGTATGGCGTGTTAATGAATTTTGGCGCATTATCATTTATATCTGACACTCGCACAATCACCGGTATGGTCCGTTTCTTGTTCGTTTGCTTCACCGTACAGCTCAACTGAAAAGAGAACGAAAATTACCTTATACTAAATTACTGCATACGTACGTTTCACGTTTTCGCGTGTAAATATTCCGATACAAATATACCGACAAAGACCGTACCTCCATGGTTAAATATACGTGCTTTTTCAAATTTATTACCAACAACGCTCGATACGATTCCGCTACGTCCTCGACATATCTACGTTAACGGTAATCGAGCCTAGCGTTAAAAGTTTTTATATTTCTTCGCATTAATCCTTATTATCGTATTGTCGGCACATCGTATTATCGAGTTAGATAATATAAGGACGTATTTACGAAAAATTTTGATCGATACAAACGCTTTTACGATACCGTAATATACGCAATATATATATAGGCTAACGATATTTTCTACATTCGTCGTTTACGCCATTACGACAATTATCGATAAGACTGCTAGAATCTACCGCTTACCAAACAAAGGCAAAGTGTACGCGGCATTTCCAAGCGACTGGATTTTATACGGTCAATTTGCGAAAACGGCAAATACGAGCAATCTCTGACGGAGAACGTTGTATCAGAACGCTGCTCTAGACCTTTCACATTCCTTGCACCACAGTGTCATAAGAGACGACGTGCATTCCCGGCTGCCGACGTGGCTACAAAGAACGGCATCCTATACTATGCAATCTCAATTTACAAATTCAATAATAGTCTGATTTTCCTTCGGATGTTTCTACAGAGTTTACCGATTTTACACTAGTTTTCCTACTGACAAACGTCAACATATTAAAGACTATATCTGAAACGTAAGTATTCGATGCCAAAGAATTCGTTACTTTCCCCGATTTGATTATTTCGATTCTATGATCGAATTCTCTTGTCCTCCACACCATGCTTACACGCTATGAGCGATGCACGCGTCAGAGCGAAACGTTGAACGAGGCGTTCGTTAGAAACGAAAGATACTCGAGTTCTTGCAAACAGTCACCGTTAAATAACCGTTCAAAAGGTCAACGAAGCACACCGCGCTAAAAACGAAACTGAGCGAAATTAGATCGACGGAAGGATCGTTGCTTCCGGTTTTGTCCCGGCTGGTAAGTTCGTTGCCTGCGAACAGGAGCAAAAAATACCGGGGGCAAGTAACGAGATTCCTTTTCGAGAACGAAAGAACGCTCTTCTTGAATCTCGCGGAAAATGCAACGAGACGGTGCCAAGCGTAGAAACTGTCGCGCTACCACCAGTTTCCGCGCAAAAACCTTTCGCGTCTCTCGAAACCAGAGTCGTCGTTTTTCATCCGATCGACCGAGCATCGACCGTGTCTTACTTACGATAACGAGAATTTCTCCGCAAATCGTGCATTCGATCGCCATCATTAGCGATCGTCGAATCAAAGACTTTATCGTGCGTTTCTTAAACGGTCTCTTTATCCGATCGGTACGTGACACTTGGAGAATGACAGCAAAAATCAGATTCCAGGTATCGAGCTGTTCGTCATCGAGTTCATTCTAACGGTGATCAAACGGTTTTTAAACGGATCCGGATAAGTTAAGTTAATTCGATGGGACCGATTACGAGTGAAATTAACTTTTTAACATTTATAACGTTGAAACGTCGCGAATTTTTCACGAATATCTCGAATTATTTGGAAACAATTCGCTGTTTTATTCGGCCATTCCATAGATGGTAGGGTCAGCAAACCTGATTATTATTATTATTATTATTGCAGATAAATGAGAATAAGAATAAACGAGAAAGAATTGTTTCGTGCGAGCAAAGACTTCGGTAGCACTTGTACCGAATTGCAAAAAATGAATCATCTCCACTAATCATCGGTCTAGCAATCTTTTCACGAGCCAGCCAGTAAGTAGCGCATTTGAAAAACACGTACGTGCTCGCTTGATCGACCGTTTCTGTTATCCAGGTTCGGAAACACGTCCAGTTACATGCTCGGAACGAATCGCAAAGAAATATACGTGGCTTTCTGGAGATAAACACTGCGACACACGAAGCGGGCAACTACCGATTACGTAAGGCAAAACGCAGATAACAGATTCGACAAATTTAATTTCACACGACCGCGCTGAGCGCAAAAGTAGCAGCCCACCTAATGTTCCGGTTACGAAATCCACTTTGTCGAAAGTAAGCAAGTCTAGTAAGAATTTGTCTCACCTGAAAAACGACGTGCGAGAGATTTTCATCGTCCCTATCCAGAGGATCCAACAGCTGCAGCTTCTTTCCATTCAATTTAAAACGAGGCTGTCTTCCAGGAAAGATCAACTCCAGCGTGGTCTCGTTATACGGATCGCCAGATACCGGAAGTTCCTCCGGCACGGTCTTCTGATCGGTCGCTGAAAAATGAAAATCCGTGAACCGCGATCGCTACAACGATCAACGTGCCAACCGATTTGTCTGGGAACCATGCCTAATGGGTGTAACGTATTCACGCGGTCGATTCCACGACTAGACGTGTCCCTCTAATAACATATTTTCCAACGTCCTACGAATACCTGTTATCCTTTATGGATAATACGGTAGAATCACAGCCGTCTTCTAACAATAATACGAATAAAACGAATAATACGAATAATACGAATAATACGAATAATACGAATAAAAGAAGGAAGCAATAGCGAATCCAAAAAGCTTACGAATACCTTTGGATCGATAAGAATCGTTAACGGACCAGTTATTAAGATATTAAACTTTTAGAGGCTTACAGCAGAAAATGTTTAATCGACATAATCGTTAAAATGGATATGTACATCGAATATGAAAACGCATACATATACAAATGTCAGAATAAATTTTTGCCGTTTAAATTACCGATAAAATTGATCTTAAGGACTATCGATCAAGCATTTTTTACTGTCTGGCGTAACAATTGTAAGCCGGTTAAATCTTGAATTTCCTTCTTCTCATCGGCCCGCATCTACGCAATTGTAAAAGTTACGTGGTTAGAAGAGAACGCGGCTACTACGTTAAAATCGGTAAGAGGCTACGAAACGACTTCCTCGTGTTCGCACTCTGGATAATTAACGTTATTTTAGCAAACTAGGCGCGATCTCGAGGACTCGAGCAATATCTCATTAGTGACATCCAGCGCTCCCTAATTGCATCGCGTCGATTCGCTTCCCTTCGTTTCGCATAATTTCTTAACTAAGTTCGACATTTTATCCCGCGAAATTAATAGAGCATTAACTTTTCGCCTAATTACTCGATTACGAACGTCGGATATCGTTCGAACGAACTTTTTCCAATTTCTTTCGATCGAAAATGTTCGCTATTCTTTGTGTTTTGGCGTTACGTACGACGAATAGCAAATAATAAAGAAATAGCGAGAGAAAATAAGAACGATCAGCCGAGGAAATTTACTTTTATTTCGCTGACAGTCCAGTTTCGAGTAACACGATCGTCCTGGCGCTAAACGTAAATTAAATTAAACGCAAACTTACCATCTCCCCTGCTCTCCTCGATGTCAAGAATAATATTCGATTGTCCTGACTCCACCTCGCACAAGCCTGCAACAAACGAAGAAAAGCCTTTTATCGGATTAATATCTTCGTTATATCTCGCAAGGCTCGCGTTTTATAATTTTATAATAGCGCAACACTACTTTCCCGCTCCATGGCCAGATCCTTTACAACTTTAGACAAAGTCTCTATTTTTTGACAATGGAACGTTAGATCGCTTGTCAACTTGGGTCACATTATCACACTAGACACTCATATCTTCGACACCTCGTACGCGACTTGGATATCGACTTTCCAAACATTCGCGCAAACACCCTGCCGAGGTCCATATCGAGCCCTCGGCTCAGTCGCAAATAATTACGGTAAGGCTAAATAACTGCGACCTTTATATATTATGTCGTCACAAAGATATGGTACGTTGCCGCAAACACGCATCTAAATACGCGCGTGAATTAGATCGGTTATCTTTACCTATCGATAAGGTTTCGCTTCCATTTAGCGATCTAACATATTTAGAAGATACGAATTGCTTGTTCCGTTGCTGCCAACTTGTATCGCCAGATTCCCATACATTATGTATCTCCTTTAAACTTAATTTTAAAAAGGTTGAGAACTTAGGAGAGAAGACTGGAACATTGTTTCGTTATCGGTCATACTAAAAGAAAAATGAAGCACGTATCACAGAAACGCCCATTAAAAACCAACTGGAATATTTACATCGTCGATGGTACATGGAAATTTCGTTGTAAATATCATTTTCATAAGTGTTTTATTAGAAAATTCCGTTGACCATCACGGTGAAAGTACGTTCATGTGCGATAATCATATCTTCGGTCTAACAGTTTTAAAACTTAGTAAGAGTGCTTCCCTCGAAGAATCGTTGGAGCAGGTGCAAGAAATCTGTCTGACCGGAAACGTGACTCAGCGACACAAAACGGCCGCTTTTGAGAAAAAGATTACGAGATTACCGCGGCTGTAGTCGTATGGACGACGCAGCTTACAAGTCCCAGCTGTTGAAACGTCTTGCTGGCTCACCATTATTCTATTTTTAGGCGAATTAATCGAGTTGCACGGACGGTGGCATCTGAATCGCAACAATCTCGCACGCAATTTTACTTTGCAACAAGCTCTAAGAATTCAAAATGCATCACGTTGAAACTGGTTTTGTAATTGTTATCGTTCGTACCGGCAACGGTAATTAATTTTACGTCTTGACAGTTTCATCGGCTAAATCAAGCGATCAAACATTTATGTCATTAATAACACGTTGTTTTTACCACTTGTATATAATACTTGTAATCCCTTGTAACACCGAACCACGAAACCGTTAATTTAATTAGTTATACGTGTACTATATTTGTAAAAGTATCACGCATAGAACAGCTTGCGCGAATTACACGTTTTATTCGTCGAACGGATCGATGTTTCGGATCGGTGCTCTTCTACAATCCCAAATGATTTGCAGGTAATACCATCCAAGCCTTCCATGTGCAAGCGTTAAC